CGCAATGTTTGCGTATTGCGTTGTCAATCTCTTTGTCTTTCTTGATTGGTAGGATGGGTTACTATTTTAACAAGAAGTTCAATTTTGAGCATGTGCAAGGACGACTAAACGCGTAAAGTTTGAACTACCGATGCAACTATTCTGCATAATTCACTGTCAATCGACACCGCTAAGTTTTCTTTTTACGGAATTGATTGATTTGTTTACCGGCTGTCCTCAGCCAGCTTGCTTGAATGGATGATTTTTTGCTTGTCAAAATGAAAGTTTCTTAAAATTTGCTGTCGAATTTTTCATTATGCCTGCTGCAGTGGTGTGATCAGAATCGTAAACTTGTTCACAAACCGGATTGATTCTGTGTTGGATAAATAGGAAATTCTCGAACAACAAGCGATGAATCGGCGACAATGAACAATGGGACGATGGGATTGACGTATTGTATGTGATACAGGAAGGGGGAACAATAATGAATATTAATTACCTAGTCTAATGCAATCTGTCGAGCCGTTTGTCATCTAATAGGTCTCTAAGAAAAGGAACGAGCATACATGATGCTTTAATGTTAAAAATTTCGTCTTATGATAATGGAATGATGCATTAGTTTTTCCATTGTCTTAGTTACATTATGCGTTTATAGAATAATTTCTTTGGAGTCCTTATCCAAATGCAGGCATCATGTATCCGACAATTCTTTTTGTTTTATTATGTCAAGAATAGAATTATTATTGCGCAATGCGTCAAAATTAATTTTATTGTTGTTGGAACATGTGAACATGTGATGCTACTGAGGCATTCAAGCAAGAAGGTATTGTTTTATGAAATCAATGTATTAATCGAACATACGCGTGTCATAACGGACACGTTAAAAAACGTTTTCGCTATATTTTGCAAGGAACTAGCTAGCAATCCCGTTTTTTTTACCTAAAATTTCAATGTAATTTGCCTTTCACACAAAATGAGAGAATGCGTTAAATGAAATAAGCGAAAGTGCACAAAAACGCACAGGACAATAGGACGAGATAACATGCAAGAGAAACGGACAACAACAATAGAATAAAATATGCAGGATGCGAGTAATCCTCGGTATTAATTAAGCGGGAAAATTGCTAGGGCAGGATTCCATATAGAGAGAAATCGGACAATTTAGTAGAGCATATATGCAAGAACATGATGACAACGATTAATTCTCCATATGCAATTAAGAAAATATGTTAATTTATGTTATTGTTTCCGAATTGTGATTTTCAGCTTCTCGTTATGAGTAAGGAGGATTCTTATTCAATATTTTCTTTGTCTCGGGTAACTCGTTTTGCCAGAATTATTATCTTATGGGCGCAAAACATTTTCTTATCAATACTATATTAATACTTCTCCTTCTTAAATAGAAAACGCGTCAGGTATATGCTAGGAAAAAAAAGAAATTAACGCATCTATTAATTATTTAATGATTGTCAAGGATTTATACCATATCGATATCTTCCAATACCAAAAAAGGGGTCGAGATGATTGTCATCCGTTTTTAGGCAAATAAATATACACGATAAGTGTGTTATTAAGCAGCATCGGAGAGCATTCATCATCTGGTAATATGACCGATGAATTATAACTGGCATTGAATAAAACTAAATTAATATTGGCATTGATCATTTTTTTTGTTCAACTCTGTTCGATGGGCTGAATGAAAAATTCACCGTGCTTTGTATTCAATTCGTTTCACGTCACGCAAAGAAGCAAGCTAATTGTCAATGAAGAAACCTCGTTAAACCTGTCAAAAAAGTGCGGTCGGTTCCATTCTTGGATTAAATTAAAAGAAGAAACCAGATTCGTTTTATGATTACATAATACGTGAATCGTTACGAGCTTTTGGAATGTATAAATATATATATATCAAAATTGACATAACTCTATTTCCTACGAAAATAACTAATCGGGGTCCCAACCTCTTAAGGAGGTTACCGTTGTGTAGTGACACAATCTCTATATCATTCATTTTGCTATTTATCTTTTTCATCTCTACCCACTTTTTTCCTTATGATTGCTGCAAGTTTTATGCGTATCAAGATTTTGTTCCGCAAAAGTATTAGATATTGTGCATTAATGATGATCTTGAAAAAATTTAATGGGCTGAAACTTTTGGTAGTATATATTTGTGGGGGGGGGGGGGATAATCCCTTTATCAATCCTCAGTTTTACCCCGCGTTTATCGGTTTAATCTTTTCCGTTTATAAAACGTGAGATATCCCGTCAATCCTGTTGTGAATCTCCAAATAAATCCTGAAGATCTCGTAATTCCAAAGTTTATTTTCCTTTGACGGATAACAATGGTTTCTTGTCGATTTCTTTCGAGTTCAAATTTAAGAGAACAATTGCACTACAAATAAAACAAAAAAAAGCCAGTCATAGCAGAGAATCGCATACATACACGCACGCTTCATTATTCTTCGCAATAATAATAATAATAATAATAGTGTTAGTAATAATATAATAATAATAATAATAATAATAATAATAATGAGAATAACCGTCATTGTCCATTATCAGGATGTAAGAAAACAATTGAACATGGATTTTTTCGTTTATCGTAACAAACAACAATCAGAAACAATGAATCAATGAATCGTAAGAAAAGATTTCCAATAAAAATTGAAAAGGAAAAAAGGCTTCTTATTAAATTTAATAATTTTTCATGTGCCACAAAATTTCAAAGAGTTCTGTTATGCAAAAAAGTAACAAGCGAATACGAAGCAGCAAATAGGATAATAAAATTTCAATGTTTGTTGACTACTATTTTATTTATATTATTTAATACTGTATATGTACATATATAAATGGATATTTTGATTGATGGTGCACAAAGTTTAGTAATTGTGTCGAGAATTTGTCAAATTTTGTTTCACACGCGTTTCTCTTGTCAAAAAAACATCAAATCAAATATTCCCGAATTAAAGAGAAACTTTATAGAGACACACGGTCATTGTTCAAAAAAAAAATAATTAATCAACCAAACTAATCAGCATCTAAACTACTATCAATAAATCTATAGACGAGCCGAAATGAATCATGCAAGTCACATGTCAAGAATTGAGTTGAAGTGTCTAAAGTAGAGAAAGAAGTTAAATCCCCCGGAAAAGGAAAAGATACGAACAATAGAACGCGTCTTGGTCTATTGTTCACGACTTGATTTTTTATGATGAATAAGGCTTTTTGTGACAGCTGTCGAATTAGTCTACGAGAAAACAAATACTCTGCATTGCTTGCTGCATCAGCAACAGTTTGTGATATTCATTTAACAGACAGACTGTAATATACAATTTATTATCCACTTAAATTCTCATTGACACTTATCTTTTAGTATCTTATTGTCATTTTGGTTTTTATGTTATATACTTTAGTTGGTCATTACGTTTTCATGTATGCGTGTTGTCATTTTTCGCTATTGTTTTTGAGGTCATTCTTTTGCTATTTCTAAATTTATGAGAAAGTTCAATGCGTTTCCGGTTCTTTTGTCGTTTTGATTTCGTTCGAGATGGTTTTATATTAAAAAAAATAAAAATTCTATTGGGAGAAAGCGCTCATATGATGACATATGGATTTAATGAAATCTCGGTATTATGCAGGACTGTTTGTTTATGAAGAAACCCATTATTATTGATTGCATGAATTTAGATGGGTCGGGAGCCATTAAATATTTTGATTGTTAATTTGCGGCAGAAACGACAGTTTTTTAATAATTGGAAAGCAAAAGAAAAAAAAACAATGAAAATTATAATATGCCGAATGCTCGTGGGTCCGTCTTCATTGTCTATTTCGCTCACGCTTGTGTGTGTTTTTCTCCTTGTTCTGTTTCTTCTTCGTTTACACGTTATTATTAAACCCTTTACCTCTGCATCAGTTTATTATTTTCTAGCATACTTAATTAAGTAATAAAAGTTAAGCGAGAAGTAAGAAACTGCAGCTGTAACGGAAATAGGAATAAAGAAAAAAAAATAATTAAATAATGCATTATAATAATAATAAGGATAATAAGATTAGTGAACTTAAACGTTTTTTTACGTTTAAAAAACCACAATACCGTTCTCGTTTCAATGATAAATGATACGTGATTAACTTAATCGTTATTATAACGAATTAGTCAACCGCTATTATTCGGTAAATCTAACATTTAAGATTTTAATTGTCATCGTAGTCAAAAGTAGTTGTCGTCGTCGTCGTCGCCTTTTTCCTAACCAGGCGGCTTACATCGCATAGCTTTGCGTCGTGTACAAAGCCATATCCATCCGGCGAATGTATATACAACATATCTTTGGGCATTGTACTTTGAATACAAACGACACGACACAACTACTGATATATTCATACATTCTCACACACATAACGAAAATCTTATTATAAAGGTTATTTTATTATTATTATTATATAGTAAATTATCATCATAATAAATTTTTTTTTGAAATATTAAATATAAATTTACACACATAAATATGCAACAGCAATGTATTAGCAGCTATCAGAGCAAATAACATCAACGAGTACGACATACATATATAAAGCATACCAACAAAAAAAAGAGAATAGTCAATTATTTAAATATATACAACAATAATAATAATATTAATATTAATATTAATAATAACAATAAGTATCAACAGAAAACCAAAACCGACAACTACGATTAAATTGAAGCTCGGCAAAGATAAAATGATTCGGATTTTCCAACTTTGAACAACTTTTTTTCTCTTTTCTTTACACATTCTCATCTACTCACATTCACACTTTAATTCTCCATTTCACTATACTCTTCTTCTAATCGCTTCTTCGTTCGACTAACGACGAAATTTCATACTTTTTTATGAACCCATAATTGACGCCGTACTTTTTTTTTTTTACTACTATTAATAATTTTCTTTTCTTACTCGCCCTTAGTATAATATATATATAATACTTTATATATATACACACTCGTATTACACAACATTTAGTCATCATAAAAATAATCAACAATAATGGGTTCAAGAAATTTTCAGTTTGAAATTCTCGTCGTTCCTGAGCATCTACGTGAGAATATCGTCTCCAACAATGATCAAAATGTGATTTATAATATTAATAATAATCCCCCGCCACAACAACAACAACAACAGCAACAAATTCGTTACGAAACAAAAGTTCAGAAATTCAAATGTAGTCAAGAGAATTTGTTAGCTTATTGGATTCCAGAGGGATTTCGTGCTGTCTTGATGCCCAAAAAAGATCTTCATTTAGTTCGACAACCAAACCAACTATCCAATAATATCAGTGGTTCACCATCGTTCAACCATCAAGCAAACAATAATGCCCCTACTAATCAGCAAAATTCGCATGTGATAAGAAACGCGTCGGTCAAGCGGCGAAATAATCCAATGGGAAATGGTCGCCAAATGCGAAGACCGTTAACAGCACTCGACATGTATTATCTAAATTTACGTGCTAAATCGTCGACCAACCTTCCACCCGAGACAGTATTTGAAATGTGGCATGCAGAGCCTGAAGATGTTAGACGCAAATACAGACGTCTAGCCCTCAGGCAGCGAATAGAGTTAGGACTTCGGTATAATAATACATGTCGTCCACCACTAAAATCGCAACTGATGATGAATTCTTCCGGATTTTCGGAAAATATGCAGAATCCTCTTTATGAAAACAACAACACAACCGCATCAAATATGCTATCCAACGTAATGAAAGAAAATATGCAACAACAAAATATGACCAGATTTTATTCTTATGTGGAACGTAGTGTGCCAATCAGACAAGATTCTTCTGGCTCCTCCGAATCCGATGAAGACTCGGATGACGCGCCCTTTGCAAGACTACGAAATAACCATCATGTACCGTCATCTTATGGCAATAACAACGAAAACAATCCCAACGATTTACATTGATTCGACCAACCTCAATTCAATTAATCTCAAAAAATTAAACAATCATTGATGACGTCTACTCTATGAAATTATCAAGCAACGAACACTTTATCTGAGTCTTAATCGGATTCATTCTAAGCAAAATAAAATCTTACAACATGATCAATTTTAAATTAAAAATCAAAACTCTCACATTCTTTTTTTGCTTCCTTGACCCGAACGCAAAAATTTCATTATTCATCATCATGATATGCGACTTATCGTCTCGAAACTTAAATTTCTTCGACATATTACTTTAAAAACAACCAACCAACATTTTTTAAGGACGTCGCGAACCCTTAAAAAATTACGAGCAGATCATTATTGATCCTTTGCAAACGAACACATAAAAAAATATCATCCGAATAACGAATTAATAGCAGCAACAACAGCAACAAAAAAACGCAATCGCAGTAATCCACAACCTTAATAAATTGCCGAATCAAAAATGTACGCGTCTGGAAAAATTTCCAGTTAAAAAGAATTCTTATTTATTTATTTATTATTATTTTTTTACAAAATTAGATTTTAAAGTATACATCATATTACGATTTTTATCCATATAGAGCGTCAAATTCATTTTACGCGTATAAATTTTTTTTGTTAAATAGTGATTTCCCTTAAAATTTTAATGTTTGCTGTGCGATAAAAGTTATCCATTATATTTCAATTCTCTTTGCTCCTTGTAAATACATCGGCCCAATTTGGATAACTTTTGTTATTGTATATATAGAGCATGACTTTCCCCTATATACATGCAAGCATTATGTAACTTTTTTTTCGTTTTTTTTTTTTACCTTTCTTCGTCGATTTAATTTAACATCGATCGAAGTCAAAAAATTCCCCTTGTACAGTTACATTATAAATACACTACGTTAGAATCAAAAATATATTCGTCTTTTCCTCGTTTGCGTGTTAAGCAATCCTTTTTACTTCTTCGATATTAAATAGTTTTGATGGACTCCCTGTGGGAGGGGGGAAAATCGACATTTAATTCGTATTTTTTTCTTACCTTTTGAATTTCTTCGTGAGCTTTTAAAATCTTTCTTAGACCACGTTTTTATTAAAAGAAAAACCAGTTCGCTAAAACCTTGCTTTACGGGGAGAATTCAACAAAATTATTATCTTCTTTAAGAGAGAGAAGATGGGGAGAAAGTTAGTACTTTTCTCTTTCCCGAATATGTTTTTCATTATATATACTTTTTTATCACACTATTATATATTTCTTCTTTACAGTATAAACTTTTTGTTCTCTTTTTCTTTTGTTTGTTTTTCTTTTTTCTTTGTACAGTATATACAGTTTTTCTCTTGTCAAAACAAAAATATTTTTTCTTTCTCCTAAGGGAGAATTAGAACCATGTATTTCTCTGAAAAAATAGCGGTTTATTTTCTTCAAAAAAGTGTTCTCAAAATAAAGTACAATTGCATGAGACCTTTAAGGTCTTGTGTATCTATTGTTCTAACTACAGTCAAAACACAAATAACAAACTTGTTGGTCCGTGTGTTTATTTTGATGTATACATGTATGAAATATTCGGCCTTAAAGGATTGGCTTTTTTTTTGCTTGATATTTTAGACTTTGAAACAAACTTTAGTTACAATGCACACGCGACGAGACTGTTGAACGCGTCAATTGGAACATTTTAACGAGCTGACATTCAAATATAATAGCACAATGCACATTAACAATGGAAAAAATTCTATGTCCGAATATATAATGCTAGAAAAAGTAGCTATATAAAAAAACATGTAAAAGATAATTTGGCTTAAGCTAAAAGGCATGATTTTATTTTAGCCCAGATAATGGCATTTTAATTATAATGATTTACTCCTAATGTTATGTAATCGTAAACTAAGCGTGGAATTTTTATTTTCATCAAGATAAGACAATTTAATAATGAAATTATCGAAATGTCAGTTTTTTTGGATTGAATAAAAAATTAAAGTATAACGATATAGTGGATTTTGATGGGATTTTCATTTAGAAATTAACGTGTTTGTTTTGACATTGTACATGTAAATCGAATATTTTTAATCTTTCATATTGAAAAGACATACATGTATTTATAAAATTTGACGTGTTGCTTCTAAAATTCAAGAATACCCTGGCATTCATCTAATTCCAAGGTTTATTGCAAGCTCAATTATATTTAGAATTTTTGAAATACAGTCAAGAAATTTAATTAGCTATATTATGATTATTTATAAATAGAATTATAAAAATTATTCTATTAGCTCTTTCTTTTGTTATACTTTCAGTATATAAGAGAAGGATTTTATTATATGAATATATATTAAAAAGATTTAATAGTCAAATAATAGCAATTTATAAAAAATACTATTTATATTACTGAATTTCCAATTCAGTCTTATAATTACTAAATTAGTCAGAATATTATAATATATTTATTTATTATATAAAGTATTTAGCTATATTTAGTTATAACTAAAATAAGTTATAATATAATATATAAACTATAATTTTTTTAATTATAACTAATTATAATTAATTATAATTAAATAACTTATAAATTCTAATTTTTTATATTAATATATTTAAATTATTTAAAATTTCAAATAAATTTAAAGAAAAATAGTTTGAATTAAAAAAACTTAATTTTTTACTAATAAAATTACTTTTAATATAATAAATTAATTTTTTTTATTAAGTTAAGTTCTATTTATAATTAATATTTTTTAATTAAATTATTATATTTATTAATTTATAACTATTTAGAATTCAGAATAAATTTATAAAAAAAATAATTTAAGAAATATAATTTTTATTATATTAAATATATATAGTAATGATTAAAAGTAATAACTCAGAAGCTAAATTTATTTATATTAAAATAAAGTTTATCAGTTGTAGTTTAATATATATTTTTTCATATTTTTTAGATTTTTTCTGAAAGAGTTGCTCTAATTGTAAAGTTAATACAAAAAATTTTTACTAATTAAAAATGAAATTTAATTAATAAAAATTTTTGCACTAACTTTACAATTAGAATAATTCTTTCAGAAAAAATCTAAAAAA